ATGAGATGTATCCAAAAGCCATATGTAGAATAGATGCATCTATTGGAAGAAGTGACTTGTCATCCTAAAGTGTGTGGCCCACCCTATGCAACGTCTGTTGAAGCAGGTTTGGTAGCTTTAACAGAAATAAATTTTAGTTACAGAAAAAAAATATATCAGGTTGGCAGAAAAGCAGCATCTATCTAACTACATCCTACTAAAGACAAAGTTGGGAATAGAATGTTCATGTGCAAAAAAACAGGAAGGAGGAATTTGAGATTAACAATCTCATCATCAAAGAACAGAAATAGTTAAGTGATAAAATCACAGAGAGAATTCCTAACAGATTTTCTGTTATTTGGTTATGAAAAACTGAAGTCACATCTTCAATAACATCCAAGAACAACTCTCTTTCCCCCCCAAAAAAAATTCTTACAAGTTTTAGGAAAGTAATGAAGAATTTAAGAGAATAAGCCTGGTTTTTAAATTAATTAAATTGGGGGAGGGGAGGGAAGGGAAGGAATGAATAAACAGTGTTTCTCAACCTTGACCATTTTAAGGCATGTGGACTTCAACTCCCAGAATTCCACAGCCAGCAATGCTGGCTGTGGAATTCTGGGATTTGAAGTCCACATGCCTTAAAATGGTCAAGGTTGAGAAACACTGAATAGAAGAAAGAGCAAGTAAAAAAAAATACATTCAAATTGAAAAAGAAAGAAAACAAAGAGCTGTATGCACGTTTCAGATGAATTCTGGATTCAGAAGCAAAGTGTGTGGAAGCAGAATGATTTCTTTGGCCCCTTCCACATTTGAAACAGCTGGCTTCCCATTGGCAAAGTACCTGCTACTCCTTTAGGATTCCCATGTACTATCTCAGTGGTTCTCAACCTGTGGGTCGGGACCCCATTTGGGGTCGAACGACCATTTCACGGGGGTCGCCAAACAAGGCTGTCCGCCATTTTTTCTCCTTTTCTTTGGCCAGGCCCCTGGCACCTGATGATGTATAAGTGGTTGGGGGTCACCACAACATGGAGAACTGTATTATGGGGTCGCGGCATTAGAAAGGTTGAGAACCACTGTACTATCTGAACTTCTCTCCTCCCATATGTAATCACGAATGACATTCCTTCCTCACAGGACAAAGGAAAACAGTGCTAGAGGTAGGAAGATGGGAAGAAGGACAATGGCTGAGACATTAATTTTCTTGCTATCTCCTTGCAGATGGAGTAAGTACACTACATGTATAGTTTTTTTTTTTCATTTTTAACATTTGCAGACATATCAATATCTTATTTTCATTCAAGCAGTAGGTAAAAATAAAGGTGATGTAATTAAACCATCACCTTTACTGAACTATGAAAAATTGACTTTGCAATCATTTATTTATAAAATTAACACATATGAATTTCCTTCCATGGAAAAAGCTCCTTGCCCCCTTTGGCAGAAACAAACTCAAGTAAGCATTTGTCATCAGTGTCAACCAGTTTCTGATACTGACTGGAAGGACTTTTTTTCCCACTTCTCCATGAAGAATTTTTTCAGCTGTGTGATCCATAATGGGTTTCAGATCATTTCAGATCACCTGGCAATGCCATATAAATTAATCATTTGACTAAGCCATCCCAAGTAACAGAGATCTTTGGGATAATAAATAAATATATAAATACATAAATAAATAATAGAGATACTTGACCCTATTTTTAACTGTGAATTTCTAGAAACACAGTTGTCAGGAAAACTGTTGCATGGTAAGAGATACTTCATGGCGTCATATGTAACTGGGTAGAACAAAGGACCACTAGAGTGATTGATATTTATTTTTGTGTTTTTTTCATAATTGGTTATTACTTATTGCTTCTAGAAATATCTTGTTTAGAGGTTTAAAATTAAAATACAAGGTTGCTGTTGTTGTTGTTTGTGCTTTCAAGTCACTGACATCTGAAAACTGCCTGGAACATTTTCTTGGCAAAATTTCAGAAATGGTTTGCCAATTTCTTCTTCCTAGGGTTGAGGGAATGTGACTAGCCCAAAGTTACCCCACCAGCTTGTATGCCTAAGGTAGGAACAGAACTTACGATTCCTAGTTTTATCTTATCCACTATATTAAATTGGCTGTCATATCAAAAAGATATAATGCTACAAAAAATAATAATGCTTCACTATTGCAGTATAAAGTACTAGAAGCTTTTGGGTTAAAACTAGAATTGGTTTTTTTAGCGACCAAGGTCCAACTTGGGAAAAATGCTCCTTTTCTAAGAAGTCCTGATTTATTTCAAAAGATGTGTATTTTATTTTCCATGAGTGGAACAACATGCTCATCTCATTCTCTCTGAGAATGTTTTCAATGCTGCTAAAACTGCCCCCATCTCCATCCTCCAGTTTCATACTAATCATTTGGAAATTAGAGAAATACATAGAACGCCTGTGAATCTTATATTGAGCTATGCAAAACATTATCAAGATGGCCGTGGCCTTTGCAACTTTGAAAAATTCTCCTAATGTGAGTCACTCAATATTCAGGCTGGTACGACTTCACATTCCTTAGAGCACAAAAGGACATTCATTATATCTAATAATGTCTTAAAGGAAAACTTTTCAAGAAATGATTGGAATTTGGGGAACAGTCTAAAAGGACAATGCCAAACTCTAGGCTTTTCTCCAAGACTGAGATCTTTTTGTTAATTTATTTTTCCAATGCTTTGCTTGATCAGATGGTTTCTGTTTTTTAATACCACATTTTGCACTGCTCCATTTTAAGTTCCATTCAATCGGATCTAACGGCTATAATCTCTCATTTCTCATATACCTGGCAAAAATCATGGGGCAATTCCTAAGAAAAGGCTTTACTTTTTTCCTGCTTTTCTTAACAAGTGATACATGACAACAGGGTTACATCTCATTCTGAAAATTGTAGCCATCCTGACTACTTGCCAGAGATAATTTCTTCCTCCATAAATCTGTGTCATTTGGTTAAAGTGCTGTATCCAGTGGCCAAGCAAAATTGCAATTGCAATCAAAATTTCTAAGATATTGGCCTAAAAGCAATATTGCCAAACAAAATCATATCCTTGACACTACTTTCTCCATTGAACCTTCCATTTCCATTCCTATCATCATGAAACTTACACCCTCTGACAAATATCAGTATGTATGTAGAACATGAAATAAATCCTACAGATAGAAATTTTACACATACCCCAGCTTTACAAGACACCAACTGCAAACCTCCACTGATGTATAAGCTAAAAACTCTACTACCTTGATACACTTGAAGTAATAACTGTTTTCTTTATACTTAAGCAACCAATGAAACTTGTAGCAGTCCATCTTACTTTTTTTTTGTTGTGCTTTTTTCACTAAATATACTCCTGTGATTGCCCCTTACTTCCCAGTTCATATTCCACACAATCCAACAGGAAAAAAGCTTTTAGCCATGCAATGCTCTCAGGAGTTGCTCTCAGGGAATACACATTTCCTCTTGAAGGATTCTGTAAAACTGTAGAGCTATGGAGTAAGATTTTTTTTAGGCTTCTCTGTATATTTTTAATACTTTCCAAATGAATTAGATCTTAAATGTATCAGGAAGAATGTTTTACAATCCAACAGATAAATGTGGACATACATAGTATGTAACTGCAGTGTATGTATGTATGTATGTATATATATATGTGTGTATGTATATGTATATGTATATTTATGCAAGGATGCCCAGGAACTTAATTACTTCTCTTTTGGTGAAGGAAAGGGAAAAGGTTTTTTTTAAAAAAAAAAAAAAAAAATCTCAGTAGCACTAGAAGCTCTGGGAACACATAGCAATTTGCAGATTTGAAGCATACAGAGTGAGTCCTCTTGGCTATACCTTCTGTGGCCTCGGCCATAGGCCAGCTCAGCATCAGAAGTTGCTTTTTGCAAATCCGAAACCCACAAGCATACAGACATTAAACTAAAAGTGTTTTTGATCTGGAAATGGCAAGGACAAAGTATACAAATCATAGGGTGGTTTTAAAATGAGTTGAGAATTACGTCCAATGGGAAAGCTAGTGATTATGGCAGAGTTCTGTGTTTGAAGCATTATCTACATAGGATGCCTTATTGCGCAGCGCAGTCCAACCAATCTCATGTAGAACCCTTGGCTTTGTAACCTTCAAACATGATTTCACAAATGAGACAGCAATAGCAGACTTTATTCTTCTGTTTGGTTGTGGCTTTTTCCATAATATGGAGATTGGTTTCCAGATGCTTAGATTATCAATGAATCTGAGTCTCTGCCTATGAAAGCCTCCAGCTCTGTGACTGCAGATAACAATTGTTGCTCTCTTCATAATTGGACGAGGGATACAGCTGTGTATTGCATGCACAGCTATCACAACAATATATTAACAATAATCTTTCTTTTATTGTTATCTCGGTTTCTGATATAATAAAAATAATAGTTTCCAGTTTAAAAAAGAATTGTAGTAAATCACATGTTCACGTCTGCAACTTAGTCCATACCTGTGAAAACTAATTATTTCCACAATACGGAAAAGTGGGGATCTATAGCTGCTTAAGCAATGTTACTAAAAAAAATCAAGATCAAACTGTGTTTTTAGACTATATTTGGCCTCAACGCTATGAGTTCCTCAATTACAAACATCACAGAGAACTGTAATTAGCCTTTAATATGAAACTCATTTTTGTAGGCATGAAATAAAAATAATAAGAAAGGATAGCAGGTGCCCAAAGTGTAACTCTGCTTGTTCTCATAGCTTGTAATCTCAGGCTTCAGATTATATCTGAATCAAGACTGGGTATCTAATCCTTCTTGAACTGGTGAATGATCATGTAGTTGCCAATCGTTCTATAGCAGTGGTAGTATAGTGATATTATCTTCATTTCTAGAGCTATTATTCTATGCTCTCTTTAACTCGAGATTCACAAATGGATCAAACTTACTCAAGGACTAATGTAGCAGCTACATCTAAAGAACATTTTTTTAAAAAAAATTAGACTACTTTTTAATAATATTTGAAAAGATTTACCTGCTGTCTTTAAAAGCGTGCTTGTGTTATCATTCTCAGTCAACTTTACAAATCCAATTTGATTTCTGAAGTGATCAGTGCCTTGAAAAGATAAATTCAAAGGCTTTCCTTGCAGTAATTCTTCAATTAAACCTCCACTCTCCAAGAAAGCACCAATTGCACTATTGGAAAGAAAATAATTATATATACATATATATTAATCTATCAGTCCATCTATCTGATTTAATACATACAATCACTACATTAGCTTGCTAGAGGGTAGTTCTCGCTTAATGATCATTGGCTCTGTGTCCAAAGTCATAGCAGCACTGAATGAATGATATTTATAGCCGGTCCCCAAAATTATTACCATTGCAGTGCCCCCATGGTCACACGATCAGAATTTGAGTGTTTTGCAGCTCACAAAAAAATTAGGACTGCAGGAAGCTTCAACTCCTCCTACCTACCCTGCTCCACTTTCTGCCTTTTGGGCCACTTTGGACAGAGACACTCCTCGTAGGTGGCGGCAGCAATGCTAGAGCTGAAATAAGAGGCTTGGGCCTTAGCAGTCTCACCAACTGCCACCACCCTCAAGCCTGCTGTGCCTAGTTGATCTGTGCTGTCTTCCTCCCTCTGCAGAGAAGACATGCAAAGCCTGGCCCTACTCAAGGCAGCTGCTGGCCACGCCAGGTCTTCCTTCTTCACGCCAGGTCTTCTGCATTGTTTTTAAAAAAGGGATGTCATTGTCCAAACAGTGTTCATCATTTTCTACATGGGCTCCCTCATTATTAAATTTCATAGATTTCCTGCTTAAAAAATACTAAAAATAATTTAAATTATCGATTTGCCATATGCAGCTGTATACAACGTTAGTTTTACTGAGCTACTAAACAACTCATGACCCCTTGGCTCATGATTTCAGAGACATTTCCTTACCACAGTGTTTCCCAAACTTGACAATTTTAAGGCATGAGGACTTCAACTCCCAGAATTCCACAGCCAGCAACGCTGGCTGTGGAATTCTGGGAGTTGAAGTCCACATGCCTTAAAATTGTCAAGTTTGGGAAACACTGCCTTACCAGATTCCTCAGTGCCTTTCAACAATGGCAGAAGTTCTAATAGGCCTGAAAAGTATTTCAAAAATTTTAAAAGATGTATCTGCCTTGAAAGAAGCCCACGTTAAACTGTGTAGCACAGTCCAATATCAGGACCTGAACACTGGAAATGTTTTATGACATTTTGTATTCTGACATGAAATGCTTTCTGATCATTTTTGTGTCATAAAATGTTTTGGGAAATCTGCCAAATTTCAGTTCCACAGGAGTCCTGGGTCCTGGATTTTAGACTAATTCTTATAGTTAGCTCATTTGAGGAATCCTAGCTGAAAAACCTTTGCCCTACGATACACTGTTTTGCAGAGTTTACAGACACGAGAGTTTTAGCACTACATAAATAAATCCAGGGCAAGCTACAATGCTTTCTTGTAGGCTTGCAGTTTGAATGAAAGCAAGAAAGTCATCAATGATATTCCAGCTTTTCCTTGTTGCCAATCCTGGCAACTTTTGCACACCGCTTTATCTAACGCACACAGTGGAGGCAATGCCTTTTCCCTAGCATGGTTTCAGATCAAGTTGCATAGTGCAATATTCCTACGACATATTTTGCCATAGGGAAAAAAAATTAACTTGATCTGTCTTCCATTTTTTTTAAAAAAAAAATATTGTTATTTCAGAGTTAAGGATGAAGTAAAGTATCAAACTAGGAGTTGGGAAAGTTGGATACAGAGCACTGCTACATTACAAAACGATATGGTTAACCTTGGGTCAGGACCCTGGTTTTTGAAATCTTATAATTCAGTGTTATTCTGGTGAGAAAAGGATAAGATTAAAACACAATACAGCTTTGAAATAATTAATGGGATTTCCTGCCAATAGGCATCATTAAGATTTCAGCCTTATTAAACCAATTAAGGTCTTTAAAAACTTTGTTGTTATTGTTGCCATTGTATTCACATAATTATCACTAGGTGGCAGTAACTACCTTTTAAGCAAGCATCCTTCCTTTCATACATTGTACTGTGAAAATGCATTTTGACTCAAAGTATCTTAAGCAAAGAAATGGTAAGATATGCAATTAGTTCCTTTAATAATTACCTAGACAGCCTACTAAAGCCCTGACTGTGGCTCAGGATAGTAACACGGAACACAACACAAATAAGACATATGTTCTGACAATCATTTCCTTTAAATTAATCATTTTCTAGCTTTCCCTTTCCACTCCTTTTCGTCTACTGTGGAACTCTGCAGGGCTTTTCTACAATATTGATGAGAATTGTAGAGGCTCCCATGACATGTCCTAGAAATCACACGTGTCACACTTTTCAAGCCATATTATTTCAACGTATAACTGTGCCTATAAATAAATTCAATAATCTCCCATGGCAACACATTACAGTACAGGGAAGAATCAACAGCTAGGAACTGATTTTCAAAGAAACATGCTTACTACAATTCATTGAGAAGAGAAGCAAAATAATCTTTATTTCCTAGAGCACAGCTTTAAAATCACTGTTGTAAAATCGTGGATCTCATAGGAAAAAGTATAAGAAAACAAAACAGCAAGCAATAAACCTGGATAATGGATAAGCTCCTGGATAATGGATAAGCTCTTGGATTTGAATTACAAAGACCCAATTTTAATCCCTCCTTGACCAGGGAGTCTGGATGGGTCTCATAACCCAACTTTAAAAGGTTGCTATTATGAGAGATAGAAAAGGGGTGTGTGTGATTTTATAAATTTCCATGAAATCTTGAGGTTTTAGAAAAAGTTGGACTATAAATGTACTAAGATAGACTCTTTTGAGGCTCAGTTCAAATATAGCAATTCTTTCTCTAGATGATGGTTTCTAATATTAGATTCTGCAAAGAAACTCAAGACCTTTCACTGCCCACATATCAAGGAAAGAGGCAGGGATTGGTTAGTTTCTGTAGTAAAGGTAGCCCTTTATTTCAATCCATCACAAGTATAGGAAGCAGCCACATCAGAATGGTTTTCCATTCTCTGATAAGCAGAGTCTGCGTTAAGAGTAACTGGTTGGATTGCATGTGTGAACAAGTATTACATGGCGAAGAAACCAATAAAGAAAGGCTTATTTACAGCACTCCCAACCATGAATGTAGGAAGCTCCAAAAATCACTCACCAGATTTATAATTTCTAAATAAGTAAAAAATAATAATTATCAATCACATGAACACTAATTAACTGCCTGGTCTTGATATCTCCAAAAAGAGTTATATATTGACAGAGGAACATACTTTTCTTTATATTTTAACATTTAAACATTATCTATGCCTTCAGCCACCCAATTTTCTTCCTAATCACTTTCTACCCTATAAATGCAAATAGTTCTTAGCTGTCCTACAAACTTAAATCGTTTCAAAGCTCTTCTGTTGACGGTATCTAAAGTAAGCAATAGCTGATTCATTTGCTGACAGTAACCACAAAAGTAAAGCATGAATGATTCTCACTTTTTTTTTGCTTTAATTCTGCTATATGAAAAAAAAAATCAATCCTCTTTCTCACCGAGAACTGTGATGCTTGGAGTTAACTAGATCTCACATTACAATAGAAACTTATCATGCTGGTGACCCAAGACTGGGCTAGCATCTATTATCTTTTGTCCATGTTATGTGAACTTGGAATGCACTTTTAAGATTCTGAAAGATAACATGGATTCTTGAAGTATTTTATTTTCTTTCATTCTATTTTTTTCAGCAGTGACCATATATCTTTTATTATAAAGGGCAGTCCTTTATTTCAGAAAGTTATCCCTTAAATTTATTTAATTACTTACCTTTTTGGTTTTGCTATCGAACTTTCCTTTGTAAAACCAAGTTACAAACATAAACAATTTTTTTTAAAAATCATATGAATTCTTTTCAGATTTTTCCTTTTTCTTTTTTGTCTTTCATTTTTTCCCCAAGAAAATATGACCACCATATCTATAAACCACTTGGTAAAAGACAAAAGTCAAATCCAGGTAAATGCACTCAAGTCAATATTTCAAGTGACATTATGTTAGGCTTAACAAACAAGCAAGCTGTCATTCTGAACTCCTATTATAGTTGTAGTACCAGTATATATAATGTACTTATTGGAGAAGCTACTGTTAAGATAACACAAGGTCGAGGCCACAAGAAATAACCATTTGCAGCAGACAGGTTCCTCTCAGATAAGGATAATGGAAGACAGAAAATGAGCTGATTGGACATCTAAACTTTTCCTGGAATGAATCAATTACAAAAAACATACCTAGCCAGATGATACTGTAACATTCCCTCTGGATGAAATGATAGCAAGATATTTAGATAACCTTTTAGTGACTGCTGGGAAAAAATATGGTAATTATATTAGTAACAGCTATACAAACATCTGAGATGGTAAGTCTCAAAGAAGACTAGGGCCATCATCCAAACTTTTATAAAATGGTGATCATTTTATAAAATCATATGGCTATCAAAATAAAAATATGGGGCATAGAGAAGAGGTGCTATCAGATTGAGAAATGGAAGAACTTTTTATTTTGATGACAGAGGGGGAAAAAGGCTAGAAGAATATTCGACCAAGATAAGCCAAAAGGTGTTGGAAAATGTACCACTTTTAGGTGGTATATTTAGTACAGCATGTACAAAGGAATTCTACTGCCAATTTTACACAGTAAGGGCAGAGAGCTATTTTAACAATAAACTCGTAAACCCAGGTTTGAAGACATACCACAGACTGATTCATATCTCCAGAAGCAATGCTGTATTTCAGATGCTGAACTGGTTTTCAGTAATTGATGGTATGCTGAGACACAGACTGAAGGAGTAGACCTGTTTCCATATGACCCCCCTTTTAATTAGTGAGGGATGAAACTCCATATTCAATATTTTTAAGTGGTCATTTGCATATTTCACTATTCCTGCTAGAGAACTTCCAGTTGGCACTGAAAGAACATTCAGAAATAATGAGTGCACAGGCATAAATTGAATTATGAGAAGACAAAGAAATTGCAGGAAAATGGAGAAAGGGAAAAGGAAAAAAAAGGCAGTGGATGCAGCAAAACAAGTCTTTATAAGCAGTGCTTGATTTTTTATATACATAAATCATTAAATAAAAAATGATGTTTAATAGACTGCTTATGTCAAAAATGAAACTTCTTCACTTTTTTCATTATTAACGTAAAGCTGTGTTAAAAATAAATTTTGCTGCAACATCTGCTAACTGTAGGATTTAAGATCACAGCTAAAATTACTGGAAGCAAGTAAATGGAAATGTTTTGGCTTTTAGCACAGTTATGTTGAGAAGTTCAGCCACAGACTCATTATATCCTCCAATTTACCACATGATTTATTTTTACTAAACTCAAGCCATTAGCTGCTTTGTGAACAAGTCAGAGCTGAACACAAAGTTCCCAAAAACAGTTTAACTACTTTTTTCTGGTCAAAATTCATAGGCCCTCAGCCAAGTACAACAGTGTATGAAAAGTATGTAAGTGGACTTTAGTGGTGCCATCAACATTAAGTACAGTATAAAGTTAAGATCTAGCTTGAAATAGCAAATATAATCAACCAGAGCAAACTATGCCATTTCTGTCCTATAATTAGGCCTAAATTCTGACTGAGAAGAATCTGGATAATCTGTTTCATTTAGGCCAAAGCTAATTTGGCACCATCTTCTCAACCAAGGTTAGAAAGTGGATGAACGTTATTAAAAAGGGTTGACTCTCTTCAGGCAAAAGCACACTACTGAATTCTTAAAAGCAAGGAGTATTGCATCCTTTCCCAGAATGGTGCTTATAACTTGCTCACATCTCACTTAACCATCCAAAAGCACTGGGAAGGACATGGACTGAATCCACAACTGGCATAATTCAGATTACTTGGACCATTAACCAATCCTTCTGGTTCCAAACTCAAAAGAAATCCAGATTAAAATTTAAAAAGATGACGTGCTCACCAGAATAGATTCTGTACAACTAGCATCCAACCTGGAGTAGTGCCTGCCCCACTCATCTTTCTTCAAAAGAATCCAGGTTCCTCTAAATGGAATAGCTAGGCAGCAATTTATGAATGTAGTAAATGTGGAGAAAAAGTGACATTTTAGTGCTCTTACTGGCACCATGGAATCTCAAACACAAGCTCATTTCAGTATTTAAATGTATCCACTTCTGGGTTTTTACCAGGTAAATTTAAGTGTCACTATTTATATGTACAGTACCTATGTACGGTGCTAACATATCAATGGAGCCCATCCTTCACATAATGTAGTTACTAAGTATGCGTTAGTTCTAGTTATCTAGAAGTAACTAATCATTCTCCTCCTGGAATACAGACATTCATATTAATAATGTATCAATGGTTACTGGGTACATAATTGATGTCATAATTAATATTAAAATAATTAATAATTGTTTCTACTCTCATTCGATTGTCATACTTTTCCCAGTTCTATCCTAAACAAAACAGATTTTAAAACAACATTTGATTTCAGAATGAAACACGTACTTGCTAATTGCTTCTTCATTGGACAGATGCATCACTAAAAGGGTGACATGGAAAGAGCCATAATGAATCATTGCTTTGGAGAGCCTATTATCTTTTTGTATGATTGTGTTCTGAAGAGTCTGAATGCCATCTATAATCTAAGATAAAACAGAAGCATATAGAAAACCAAATTACTATAAATATTACTACAATTAACAGCAAAAGAGGGAGAAAAAAAAATGAGCATTTTAGTTTTAGGTAAGTAAATATGATAGTCAGTAGGGTCATAGAAGAACACAACCAGAAAGGCAAGTTATCCATTATGTCTTAGTGGGATTTATGCTGGAAAGCAGTCCAGTGTATGGCAATTCTTTTCAAAATTGTTCCAATGGGCAAGTATATAATCATCTCCCTGACTGGAGTCTTAAATCTGCTTCAGTAAATTTGAAACTGGTGGGGAATAAATAATTAGTGGATAAAATGGCACCCTACTGTCACATCTTGTTATGGTTTCTCCTTGCAAAAGCACGTCACTATACTCCATTTGTGCCTGATTATATGGTTTCACAAACATTTCATTTCATTCATATTAATCTTAAGCAAAGAACATGGCAGCAAATAAGATTTCCCATTAAAACATGCAAATCCAATTGTAGCATTGATTAATGAATACAATTATTGAAAAAAGGACAGACTGTATTAGCTTTTTTTCTGAAGAGAATTGTGATAGCATGTCCAGTCTATTTGATTGGAAACACCAAAACAAAGCAGTAAAAGAAACTATTACCACAAAACATCTATGTTACATCAACCTCATTTTAACAGCAGGTATTGCTAGCTTGAAGGTTAGAGGAGTGAGAATATGTAGCCCATCCTCAAATATTAATATACAGGAATTAAAGTCCATTTTATACCACATAAAAATAAATAGTTTGATTGTTCTTGAGTCATCACTGCCTGGGACATTAAATTCGTACAGAGGTTGACAAACAATTACAGGATTATAAAGTAACTCCACTAAGTTAAATCAACTGTAGCAATGGAATGGGAGATATTAGTATTGGTTAGACATTCACAAAATATATGAATAAGGTGCTTCCCTGTTCAGTGAGCAGGATCGTACATTTTTGTTGTTGTTGTTGTTGGCCTGGGACAAATTTAACATAATGGGAGAGAATGAGGGCTATAATATGTAGGGAGGGGATGCCTTGATATTCATTGACTGAGGATTTTAAAAACCTATTTAGGACTTACATAAACTGTACCCACAATAGTTGTTGTTGGTAGCACTGTCAAAAAATATTGTAAATATGCTTTAATTTGGATCTTTATGCTGCATAAGGGGGTTGGACTTGATGGCCTAAATCAGGGGTGTCAAACTCAATTTCATTGAGGGCCGCATCAGCACTGTGGTTGCCCTCGGGGGCCGGGTGGATGTGTCCTGGGTAGGTGCGGCCTACTGGGTGGGTGTGGATGGAGTGGGTGTGGCCTACTGGATGGATATGGCCAGCTCTACATCATTCGCATCAAGGGTGCTTGTGGGGGCCTGGGCAGGAGTGGGACAGATCTGAAGGTCTCTGGCAGAAAGGGGTGGGACTAGGGCAGAGCCCATCAAGCCGGATATGTGAAGTAGGCGAGGGCCATTTGCTGGCCACTCCAGGTGATGATGCATTTCTTCATTCCTCACAAAAGGTGACACCTCCCCAGCATGCACACAGAGAGCGGAGCCGATGTGGCATGGGCTGGTTCCTTGCTGTTTCCAGACGGCCTTGTGGAGCTAAGACTGAATGCATTTCAGCATAAATGGCCACCACAAAATTGTACATTGTCTCCTGGACGGCCTGGGCCAGGGCCAAGGCAGCGGGGGCCGTTCCCTGTTTCCAGGATGGCTTTGTGGGCCACATGAAACCACTTCGCGGGGGGCATCCGGCCCCCGGGCCTTGTGTTTGACATGTCTGGCCTAAATAGTCTCTTCTACCTCAATTTCCAAGAGTCATACAAAATGGCTATAATTTTTGCATCTCTAATAAAAGTACTGCAGCCTAAATAATATTTAGAGAAAGTCAAATAATTATTCATTATATTACTCATATTTGTTAAATTGGAAGAATTTTTTAATATGAATACCAAGCTTACTTATTCATAATTAATGTTCATAGCTTTTTTTCAAAATTATATTCCAAGAAATTTCAAGGAATTTCTGGATTAACTCAACAAATTTATCAGAACTATATCAAACATATATGTTTTCTGGGTTTAGTAAAACAAAGTCAAAAAACAGCAAGTAGGAAACTTTTTTTTAAAAAAAAGTAATGTAATGTAAGAGAGGCCATTTACTGAGAAACGTCGTTTGATATCCCAAGTTTATTTCTATAGTTGAAAGCCATTTTTTCCCAAACATTTCAATGACTGAATATGGAGACATACAAGATAGAAGTATATTATTTATATTTCACCCATTACTTCTTTTTATGGCCCAGTTAGAATTTTTCATAGTTCTAGATGCTGTCGATTACATTTTTTTTATCTTGCCAAGTGACAAGAAAATTATTTATTTATATCTAAAATGACTATATCATCCAATTCCAGTGACTTTGGGAAGTTCAGCAAAAGAAACCCACCCCCATCACCCTAATCAATGGCCTGGGGGAAAAGCCATATTTTTAAAGCTATTTTAAGGGCTGGTATGATTGGGGGGATCTGACTCTCAGGGGTCCTCCTAGGTCAGTGGTGGCAAGCCTATGGCACAGGTGCCAGAGCCGGCACTCAGAGCCCTCTCTGTGGCACATGTGCCATTGCCCCAGTCCTAGGCCTTCAGCTGGGTTTTATAAAACCTTTTCGCTTTAAGCCTCTGCTGCCGTGTGCAAAAAAAAAAAAAAGTTTCAATCAATTAGTCAATTTCAACTTCTCAAAGATCTTGCAAAGTTGGAATTGATTGAACTTTTTAGTCCCACCCAGTCTGCCGTTACCAATGCAGCCATGCCCACCCAATGGGCCACACCCCCCAAACTGGCCACACCCAGCCAATGGACCACCCCCACCCGGCACCCGACGATGCATAAGTGGGTTTTGGGTTGCAGTTTGGGCACTCGGTCTCTAAAAGGTTTGCCATCACTGTCCTAGGTCCTGCTAGATGACATTGTTTAATTGACAGGACCAGGAGAAAGACAATTCTGCCAGATTTTTACTGACTAGCAAAAACAATGCGAGTAGGCAGACCTCAAATAACTAGGCTATGTGCCAATAAGAGTTTTTAAAGTATCAATTAGCATCTTGCATTGCACCTTAAATATAAACATGAATTCGAATTTTAAACCATTATTTGGATCATTTTGCATTATCTGAATATGAGTTTTCAGTAATGATATTGACAATGAGAAACCTTGCTATAGGAAATTAATCTAATTACTTTATTAAAAGAGATTTGAAAACTGAGGCTTATTTTGCTAAATCTATTACATTATTTTACTTTGTGGTTCTATCCAATAATTACATATAAGGCAATAGGTTTTTTTCCAATATTACTTTGCTATGCAGAGAAACAAAGAAAAAAACTGGTAAGATTATTTTCTTTGTATTTTTTTATTAATATATAAAATACAAAGAAAAATAGAAATAAGAAATTAAAAAAGAGGGGGACAAAAAAGTGAGAAAAGGGAAAAAAGAAGAAAAGGTATTGACTTCCCATTCTTTTAGCACAGTTCAAGATAAAAACACTCAAGCCTCAAGTTTTTACTTTTACACATTAATGTATAACTAGCCATTTCTATAAATCTATCTAATCGACAAAACCAAAGTCAAAATTTCATTTTTTTCATCACAAGCACAAAATCCAGAAGTGATATTCAAGTAGAAAAAGTACTTAACTATATTCTCTCCTTTGAATAAAATGGTCAATATACAGTAACCATTCCTGCTTTATCTTCCTTGCTGTGGAAATAGTGTGTACTTCCTTGCTGTGGAAATAGTGTGTATCTTTGTGAATTATCACCATTTTTATTAACAAGGTTCACTGTATTCTTTCAGATTCTTTGACCTTACAGGGAAAAATACTCCTTTTTTTTTCTTTTTTTCACCCTTTTTAAAATGCTAAGGTTTTCTTTAAACACAATTCTAAAATAAAAACTTTCTAATGCATCTTTTTCTTTAATTTCTTAACATACAGGCTTTGAACTTCAGTATTAAATTTAGATCCCTCCCTCCAAACTATCCTTATAGAATATTTTTTTCTTTTATAAATATCCTTTTTAAAATTCAAAATGTTTCTTTAAACTATTGCATTTTCTTTAATGTTTTTCTTTAAAGATTATGTTCAACTTTGTCTGAACTATTCATTTTCATATGCTGCATGTAAGCTTCTAAGTAAAACTTAAGAAACACTATACAAGATGTTTACATTTTAATCTGAAAGCAACAGGAAAATATAACATTTAGTCGGCTATGTTTTGTTTGAAGTAAGCTGAGGTCAAAGAAATCAGTTAAGATTAATCACAATTTAGTGTATGAACGTAACTGCCTTTAATAAAAAAAAGAGCTTCCAATTTCATATCTGGAGCAGCAACAAGACTCACTTCAATTTCAATTTAACATGACTCCTAATTCCCAGCATAAGATTCTCTTTTCTGCAAGCTAAAACAAGAGTATGAATGACTTGTAGAGTTAAGCCTAACTACAGGTTGTCCTTAACTTACAAGCACAATTGAGCCCAAAATTTCCATTGCTAAGTGAGGCAGTTATTAAGTGAATTGCACCTCATTTTACTGTCAAGCCAATCACTGAAGTTGTTAAGTGAATCATGTGGTTCTTAAGTGAATATGGCTTCTCCCATTGACTTTGCTTGTCAGAAGCCAACTGGGAAGGTTACCAATGGTGATCACATGACCCCAGGACAGTGCAATGCCAGTTGCCAAACAGCCAAATTTTGATCATATGAACATGGGGATGCTGCAACAGTTGTAATTGTGAAAAACAGCCCTAAATCACTTTTTTCAGCACTACTGTGATTTCAAGCTGTCAGTAAACAAATGATTGTTAAGTCGAGGACTCCCTATATAACTGTGCTTACCAAGAACTATTAGTTCAGGGCTATTGCCTCCAAATGACAACAAATGAGTGCAATATTTAAGGGGAACAAAATTCAAAGAACGATATATAATATGATAAAGAACTGGCTCAAATAAAAATACTCATTTTACTGGACAATCAATTCCTCTGAACTGAGCTTGACTCTGGTAAATTTCATTGCCATGCTTTCCTGACCACAATGTAGGTGTGACCTGCCAGTATATTTTTCTGAAAGTCATTTCAAATTTACAACTGAAGTTGTGACCCTGAATGCATCCAGGGAACTCATGTCCAAGATCTGACCCCAATTAGCTTTTCAAGATTATCCAGGGTAAGACAGGCACTGTCATTTTGGTGAACACTTAAGAAAAGCAGCGGTCAAATTATTTCAAGGTGGGGATAAAGTAGGGGAACCTAAAAAAACACATCCATACATCTATCACTGATTTTCCAGCTTTCTTCAAATCATGTCTTCCTGGTAAAAGTAACAAGAAATGCTTTACAATAGTGGTTCTCAACCTTTTTAATGCCGTGACCCCCAACCGGTCGTAAGTCGAGGACTACTCAACTGGTCATAAGTCGAGGACTACTCAACCGGTCGTAAGTCAAGGACTACCCAACCGGTCGTAAGTTGAGGACTTTCCCTGCCCGGGAGCACCGCACATGCGTGGTGCTGCCCTCTGTGCTGGCCGAGGCGTAGCTGGCAAGGGGCAGACCACCAGCTGGCCCAGCCCAAGGGAGGTAAGGCACCCACCGGGCCCCACGCGCGCCAGCAACCATCCCTGTGCCTGCCGGCCTCCCACCTCCCACCCCTGGCCCTCTTTTACTTACATTTTTAGCAGTTGCTCAGCAGGGAGGGGTGGAAACTTCCAGACAGCTCGCCTTCGCTGCAAACAACTTGTAGCACCGTTTGCAGAATGGGACTTTTGGCGGGCTCAGCAGGGCAGAGACAGCCTGGACAATTCCTATTGGCTTTTGAAAGCCAATAGAATTAGACTCTATTCAAGAGAGTCTATTCTATTGGCTTTCAAAAGCCAATAGAATAAAAGGGAGTAGCACAGCTAAGAAAAAGGGGGGGAAATGGCGGACTGAGTTGTTTGGCGACCCCCGTGAAATGATCGTTCGACCCCAAATGTGGTCGCGACCCACAGGTTGAGAACCGCTGCTTTACAATAAGGTTATAGACACAGTATATACAAACATGACCTTAGTTATTAAAATACACAACCATGAGAGTTGAAAGAAAAAGTCCAGCTAACAGAGGAAATATCCGAGATATTGTCTGATTGGAGTCTTCTTACACCAGGATCCTATTTTCTACAAGATGAAATAACTCGATAGATCCTTTTTGCTAGCTGTATTCTTATTTGTAACTGTACTCTGCTAGTTGTATTCTATAATGATTGTGAGAATCATCCTAACTGCTAGGTTTATACAACACAACAAACTATAAAATAAAATACTGAGAACAGACCAGCCATATTTTAACCTAGCTTATTATGCAAACCCAGATAATATGTTGGAGGGGAAAAAATGCTATTTCTCAAAAATCTTCCTGTTTTCGAACTACCCTGTTACTTTCCTCACTTCTTCCACCCTCTTATTAAATTTATCTTTGCTGTCACTGTTGCAATCAGAATAGGTGAGCCTTTTCTAGATAACATGATTTTAAATCAATGGAGTTCCTGGGCCAACAATATGAAACAGACTGTTGTGATTAGAACTAAAGTGTGATTTATTAACTTTATTCCATTTTGGCTCCTAAAAGAGTAGATTTTAAGGAGGGGGGGGGGAGATCACCTTTGGATTTGTGATTGGAACAGAAATGAAATAATTGGGTCTGTCTTGGTTCTTCTTTTTCTTCTTTATTGTATTGTCTTCTTCATTCCCCTTTCCAGCTGTTCTCTTTCTCTTCTTTTTAACAGATGGTTTAGATTTGCTCGAGGCTGGGTAGAAAGCAAAATAGTTATTATACTGTAAGCACATGTAAGTAGAACAATGCATAACATTTGATAAATACTACATCAAAATGCCATTCAGACATTATTTTACCCTCATTTCCAAATCTGAATGCTAACATTTCATCCTTTCTTAGTCAGAAACAACACCACCTCTATATGGTTCAAGATGTTTCTCTGTCCTTGGAAGTCCCAAAGCTGCTTTTTCAAAAGGCAACTGGCCTTTCTTTGTTTTGCTTGAAGATGTTTTGCTTCTCATCCAAGCAGCTTCTTCGGTTCTGAACTGAAGCTCAGAACTGAAGCAGCTTCTTGGATGAGAAGCGAAATGTCTTCAAGCAAAACAAAGAAAGGTCAATTGCCTTTTGAAAAAGTACCTTTGGGACACCCACGACCTGGATGACTGAGAATTTCCATAGACATCCACCCTTGGAAGTAATGCTAAGAAGCGCAAAAGGAAGAACTAAAAACAACGCCCACATTTCCCTCTTTTTTCAATGTTAAAAAAACCCCAACAACACACTGCTTAGTACAAATCTGGCTCCAGTGCAAATATTTTATTAAGAAATAAGACCTGGAGCTTCCACATATTTTGAACTGCAATTCCTTGCCACTGGCTGGACTGACAGTAACCAATGATAATTAAAACCCAGAATCCAGCAGAAGAGAATATATGTAGCTCAGAGTTGAATTGTGGAGTCTTTGGTGCTCTCCAAACTTGCTGTTTGCTTGCAGATATTTCATTACCCGATAAGGTAATTGTCAGGGTTAGAATAGATGAGATCAATTAAAGCAGAACTCCAAAGATTGAGTTTTCCTCTAAGAACATGTTTATTGGCTACAAAGTATCAGCACGGTCAAAAGTGAAACCAAGATTAAAGTTCCCTCCAAAAAGTCACAGTATTACAAAGTTAACTACCCTCCCCAGAAACTATGCAATCAGCTATGTTTCCCAATAGAATAGTTTGGCAGGCTTTCTAACATAAGGCTCAGCCCCCCAATCTAATGAACAGGAATGACCTTGGTTCCTATGGGACAGAGAATTGTTTAGACCAGCGGTTCTCAACCTTTTTATACGGCGACCCACGGCCACACGGATGCGCTGCCCATGCGCGGCGCACTTGCACAGTGCCGCCCCCATGCGCGGCGCCCATGCGTGGCGGCGCGTCCATGCGTGGCGGCACGCCCATGCGCGGCGCATGCGTGGCGGCGCCCCCTGAGGGGGAAAAATGGCGGATCGCATTGTTTGGCGACCCCCGTAAAATGGTCGTTCGACCCCAAATGGGGTCGCGACCCATAGGTTGAGAACCGCTGGTTTAGACTAGCATAAAATTCCCCACCCCTCCCCTTATTCTTGTGGCAACTGAAAACGAGCAAGATGGCTTCAGCCAGGTTCGTTGCAAAGTTGATAGTAACATTATCAGTGCTAGGGAACATGGAATTTGCTACCTGTTTGTATACAATAGCTTGTCCTGCCAGCATATGTGGGGATATTATTTTCTCTTTGCTAGTTCTTTGATTAGGCTATTGCCTTCTACTAGATTGCTCATCTGGTCTTAAACTGGGTGTTGATTGCTGCAGAGGATGTGTTTAAGTACACATCCGTGTTCAAGACAAGCAATCTAGCCAAAACCAATACTCTAAATGAACAAACTGTCAAGGAGAAAACCACACCCCCACCAACACTTGCAGGCAAGCTATGGTAGGAAGCAAACTCCATATCCCTAGCACTGATGATATGATCTAGTCAGGTAATGAAATGTCTGCAAATGAACAACCAAACTAAGAGAGCACTAAGCCCAAAATATCTGGTACCAGTTTGCTTAATCCTGCTAATTTTTTTTTCCAATTCAACCTTTAATACATTAATGGGAAAATCTCTTGCCTGCCCCAAACAAACATTTGTCATGGCTAAAAATTCAAGCTTTGAAAAGTTTCAAAAGTTTTTATGTTATAAATATAAAACATAGTGAGGTTGAGATGATTACAAAATATTGTTTTTTTACAGAAGGTGCACTTGTTTGTTCATTTTTTCTTTTATAAGACACTCATACAATCTTGCTTCAAAATTCTGGTATTCCGGTATCTTCTATGGCACCTTAAATCCATGTCATTTTTTCGGAGTGCTTGTGTGAGTGTACCATTTGTGCATGTTTTGAAACGTAAAACTCAAATTATATCATCATTCGGTTCCAGGTGGCCTTTGCAGAGTACTTATTAAGGCTTCCTCCTGCTCTGCTCCTAAAGCTTTAATTAGTTCTGTGTTCATACACCCTGGTCACACTTAATCTTTTAGTTAGTTGCTTCAGATGTATAATCAAGCAATCCCACCTTTCTTTATTAAATGTTTTAACTGCATTTTTCATTATTGAAATTGCCCTTTTGTGGCATTTCCCTACAAGGTTAGCACCAGCAAGCATTAGAAAGCAGGAAGCTTTTACTTCATAGAAAGAATTCTTATACTGAATAATTGTGAATTCAAATATATTTCAGAAAAAGGAAATTTCTAGCTATTTCGAAAGGGAAACCTGACAAGACCTGGAATTTGAAATGGCAAAGGTTAGCGGGGAAAAACTGGCCTAAATGGTGTTTGCTTAACTACAATGTGACTATCCAATCTAACGAAGTTTCATAGTTCTATTCTACTAAACTTACTGCTAAATTCAAGTTCAATATCTGCGTCACCAAATGGCATTTCCGCCATCAAATTATCAATCGAATTGGTAGAGCTGTATGATTTCTTCCTTTGCTTTTTTTGTTCTTTTTTCTTGCACTCCACAGTTTGTTTTCCATCTGGAATACATTTAAAACAATGAATTTGGTTTTAGATTTCACGGTCGATTAAACCATCACAATAAAATTCTGTTCTAGACTTATAAGCTCATTATAAGGCAGTTTTTCAAGCATAACATCAGAGGTTCTCAAGCATTTGTTTCTCCAGCAAGATTAACTGATTTTTAAAGCATTAAATACATTACGAGATTTGCACACACAGTGTGTCCCCATTTGAAAAACAGGGATAATGTTGATTCAAGACTTTCATACTAATCTGCAGTTTGCTCTGATTTTTAAGTTTTGAAATCGGAATAAATTTCTCTGGGTATGGCTAAATAAGTTATTAGCAGTGTTTCATTAATGTGAAGAAAGGTTGGCGACTCAGTTCTGCACTGATAAAATGATTCAACAAAGGCTCCTGATAGCTGGAACTGTTAAATGGAAACAATGTTATCACTTGTTTGGATTTAGATTTTATTTAGTTACCACTCATTTATTGTTTACTTATTAACTTATGTAAAAGGTGGGGACCCATACTTTTAAATAAACATCAAACTTTTTTTTCTATTCCTGCAGCTCTACTACTGTGTTATAGTTATGTATGTGAGAATTGTTTTTCATTTTGATTTAGGCTGCAGATCCAAGCAGATTTAGAGAGACTTGTTTGGGAGTCTCGGAAAGCTTGCTGGGTTCCCCAAAGCTTGCTTCAGAAAAAATGAACACAGGATTCCATCCTGAAAAGCAATTAATTCAGAATTAACATATTTAGGTTTTGCTCTGTATCACTACATTAAATTTATTAGCCATGTATTTTTCAGAATACCATACCACTATGATTATAGCACGTACTGTACAAATGTTATGTTTGTGCCTTTAAAAAAAGAGAGGTTAAAATTCTTTGGTGTGTTTGGGTTTTTTTTTTCTTTCTTGAGGCTGTACACTGATGCGGTAACTGCAAACCACAGGTGATACGACATCAGGCCTCCAGACCCTCTAGAGCAGGGGTGTCAAACTGCCAGCCGACGGACCATACGCGTCACGTGGAAACCACGCCTACCCCATTGCCAGCAATGGCAAAACTGTCCTGTTATGTTACGCCACATCACGTGATGTCGCGAGTTTGACATCTCTGCTCTAGAGGTCATTCAAGAGAGACCTGCTCTCATACGGCCTCTGGGGCCTCATGCAAGAGGTTAGAGTGAATTAAAAAATCTCCTGTCGCTGCAGAAAAGCACATCTCATTGTCAAGGCTAGGTATTCCACCTCCACCCCAGGGGCAATTTGGCAGCAGAGGAGCACGTTCTATTCTTAAGACATAAAAAGAAACCAGTGGCTTGATAGATAGAGTGTGAAAAAAACCAAACATTTCATCCAGATTATTAGTGTTCTATATAGTGTTTCCTGGATACCTCATCCCCAGTGCTAGGGGAAATAAGCCACCTGATTACAAGCTAATTGGCTTCAGTGTTCAAAAAACAAGGAAAGGATAACAAGGATAACTGATCCTGGAGACTGTACAGAAACTGCAACAGCTGTTAGATGGTGACCGATTTCGGGGGGGGGGAAGACTTCTCTTGTATGAAATGCTAAGATGGACATCCTAGTTGAGCAACCCCGTCTTCCACCGGTTAATGGTTTTAAAACCACTATGTGCTTTTTATCTGGGGAGGGAAGGGGAGAGGGGAAATTGCCTGGGCCAAAATAAGAGGCATGAATTTAATTTGCTCTGTTTTAGACAGACAGCTAAAAGCTTACAAATGTATGCACCATGTGGGCAATTTATTGGGAAACAGATCAAAAGTTCCTTTTAGGTGCTGATCAAATCTTGTTTTTGCCATCTTAAATTTCCAAAATTATTACAAGTAAAAGGGCTATTATGGCAACTATCTTTTATTAGTTTGATTTTTGGGTCCTCTATGAAGAATGAAACAAAGAAAAGGCTTGATGAATTTCCCTGATGGCTTTGTTTCAGAGCTTAATTGCCCCATTCGCAACACAAAGAAATGTGTGGTTTGGCCATTATATAAAGTAAGTGCTATGAACAATCAATACACAAGGAAGCAGGAACTGCTGAACAAAATGGTTTGCCGTATTATCAAGTGAAGCAGATATTCTTTCTCTCATGGGAAATTATCAAAAAAGGATGAGACAAACAAGTGAGTCATAGTCACGAGTGGATAGTCTGCTGGTTAACAACAATAGATAGTAAGTTACTTCAACATGTAACTGTTGGTTATTGTCATTTATTGGCCTATAACTTTCATTAAAGAACTAATTCACAAAAATGACCAATTGTAGTTTGCAATCCAATCTGTACCTCTAATATTGAAAGCTCTTGCTTTCATTTTCTGATACTGTCAGAGATTGAAAAGCTTTACATTTGAGTCCTGCTGTAAGTATCAGGTTGAACTGAATGGCCTCAATGATTCCTTTCAACTCTATGACTGTTTTAAAATAATGATAATCTCTAATTGAGTACTGTAAGCCTAGGATTAGGTACTTTCTCAGAATATACTGTTCTTTCCTTGTTTTCAAACTGAAGATGAATTTTTAATTATGGAGAAGCAGAGGTGTGGTTACTATTTGAATGGAAGGCATCTAGGGAATACAAGAGATGTAGACTAGATTGAGAAATCAAAACAACATATTAGAAAATGGCTATGGCAAACCACATTTGGGATTGCTACCAATAAAATTATATAAATTTATTCATTATATCATCAGGAATCGAGCCTGACCTGGAGTATCTACTGCAGCAAGATTCATAGGCTGCTCTGTTCCTTATTACTAAGAAACAGCAATTTGAACTAGATTCTGTTGTAAATATTCAATTTCTAAAATATGAACACACTTTCAGGAATAGACAACATGTGGTTTTATAACACATACAGAAGCATGTGTTCCTTAATTATTATACATTTTGCAATTCTGGAATGCCTCAGATAAGCTTTGCTGAAGCTATACAATCTGGATCTATGAGTACATTTAACTACTATTCACAAATATTAGGAGGATCATGAAATATACCTGCATTGAACCCTTGCATCTCCCAAGATAGGTATTTCCTCATTATTTGTGCTACCATATCTGCCCTTGAGAGTACCGGTTGTTAACTAGGAACTAGGGCAGCGGTTCTCAACCTATGGGTCGCGACCCCAGTTGGGGTCGATCGACCATTTTACGGGGGTCGCCAAACAATGCGATCCGCCATTTTCCCCCCTCAGGGGGGGGCGCCGCACATGCGCGCCGCGCCACGCATGCGTGGCACATTCGTGTGACGGGGGTCGCTGAACTAGGGTTTATTGCAACGTATCTTGCATTGTAAAGGGTTTTTTTTTTTTTGAACAGTTGTCAGTATCACTTAGTGAAAGAAAAGTAATCCATTTTGGTTGTCTGTAACTAACAACAGGCAACATTTTAATACAGATAGTCTTTGACTTACAATCACAATTTCTGTTGTTAATCCAAGTGGTTATTAACTGAGTCATGTCTGATTTTACCTTTTTTGCCATAGTTGTTAAGCAATTATTAAGTGAATCATATGGTCATTAAGTGAATCTGGCTTTTCCCATTGACTTTGGTTGTCAGAAGCCATCTGGGAAGATTACAAATGGTGATCACATGACCCCAGGATACTACAACCATCGTAAACATTTGCCAGTTGCTAAGCACCTGAATTTTGATGTGACTGTGAGGATGCTGTGAGAGATGTATTTTATTTTCAATACTGTTGTAACGTCAAACCAGTGCTAAACCGGTTATAAGTTGAGGACTACTTGTACCTGAATAACTGCTGTCTTAGGTAGTAAAAATAGGTGGATTTAAAAGATAGAAACTTTTATTTTCCCTCAGTAATTCTGTTTCTATGAGAAAATGGAAGGGAAGGGACAGAAAAAAGCACCTGTAGTTTAATGCAAACTAAAACAGTTTGAATTAATGGAATAAGATGGATAGAAAATGCAAGTTCATATTGTACCATGAAATCTACCATATACCACCAAGTTTTAGTCAAATGTCTCTAACAGGATAAACATATGGTGAAAGAAAATCAATTAATGGATTATGCCCACTGAAAAAAAGAACAAAATAACCACATGTGTAATACATGTAAAACCAAAAGGTGACTTAACAAAACAAAATACAATGAATGACTTCTAAGGCAGCTGTTTACTTTCTGAGCCAATCTGGAGCACAGAAAAATTGTGCAAATTGAGGTTTTATTACCCTTACCAACTGTTTGCTTAAAAAGCATGATGTAATAAATATTGACCTGTTTATGTACTTAAAAGCTCACTTACTACACTTGAATAAGCCCATCATAATTCCCAGTCCTAGTGGTAACCTCCAGCTGCCAGTTACATGATAAACCAGCAGCAGAATTAGACTTCATCCCTAATTAGAAAGGAGGCCATCAAAAAATATCAAAATGGCAAGCTAGACTGCAAAAAATTAAAAAGGTGACAATGGCAAGCCACTTTGTACTCTTGCCAAGAAAACAATAGGGACATACATGTCTGTATAATATCCAGAAGTTGACTGAACTGGACTCAGCCCAATCGGTTGTTTCCTTTTAAAAGGATTATCAGCCCCCCTTTTTGCGGAATAATTATTCATAATACATGAATATATGGAACACTCATGATTATTCATTCACGCACCGGGTAGTCTCTCTGGGGATTCTGATGCCCTTACGATGACCGAGCTTCCTTTTGGGGCTTGAGAACTTGCGGGCCAGCGAAACTAAGCGCCGGAACAAGCATTGCACAAGCTTTAGAGGAAGGGAGGTTTCATATCTGCTACTGCCAAACTGAAAGGCAAAATGGAAATGCCCCTCCCCCACTCCCACGTTAAGGAAGGAAAAGTTGAAGAGAAGGGTGGGTCTGCTGGACGCTCCTCTCTTGGCTTTGGAACCGCTCCTAGCATTCATTATCTCCTCACCGATCTGTTGTGACAACTGCTTGCTTGCAGGGGGAGGCTGAACTTTTTCTCCTATTCCTCGCCCAGCTTCCTCCTCCTCCTCCGCTTCCAGCCTTTGGGACTCCGCCCGGAGAGGGGAGGACCCCTGTACAGCCATAACGGCGCCGGAGCACAGAGATCTCCGTCCCACCTCTGGGGGCGCCCAGCGGATCTGGGGACTAGAGGACCCAGCTGCCCCTGCGGCGAAGCGAACGGAGCGCAGAGTCCGGGAAAAAAGTCCCAGCAATGTCGATATCATGGCCCGGCTCTCGCTTTCTCCAGGCACCTACGGAAAAACGGAGGAGTCAAAGGAAAGCTCCACCGGTCATTGTCGTTCAATCGGCGGAACAGACACGATTCTTCTCCCCGCACGTTTACCTTACGGAAAACTACGACTCCCATCATGCAACGCAACTATAGAGTGGGCTCGAACTCAGGGGAAAGGCTGGGCCGTGCATTGTGACGCCGCTTCGAATGTTTATTGAGAATCAAGGGCGCTAGGCCTTTCTGATCGGTGTGCATCGTGTGAAAATAATTTCCAGCTCTTATTCTTTCTCCCTCTCGGGGTTCTCTGTTGCATTCTCTGAACCAAAGTTCTTGGTGTGGAATGACTGCATCTGCATCTGCATAGTAACCCTAATCCCGCCATAGCTGCTCTTTATTGGAGGTGGCAACACAAAACTGTTAACCAGATCAAGGAGCCCGCTTTGAAAAATACAGTGTTTCTCAATGCTTTGTTCTTTCTGGTATCCCACCAGCCTTTGTGCAAGGAGAGCACTGGTAACTTCATTATAGCAATATGACCGATTCAAAGAGGAAAATGGTGGACATGGCACCAAGCAACTTTGGAAGGTGTTTTCTGTCATTGCATGGCCCTTAGCAGCCAACTTCATAACGAGTGCCTTGTATTTTCAGCTGCTCTACACCTGTCCACATATCTGGCTTTGAAATATAAACAGGAATTGAAGAGGTTTCTAGAACAAGGCTTCACTAGGAGATGTTTTAATTGATGATTTATCTAAGATGCTGTGGGGCTAGAATGGTTCTCATCTGGGTAAACAATGAGTTTGTGGACAATGCATTGCACCTAAAAATTGCCAGTTAAATGTATTTTGCAAATTTATCCAACGTAGGCAAATAATTGAATGCAGAGACAGAACATCACAGAACATTTTAAACTCAGTTGCATTTATTGATTTGTAGCTCAATGTACTGTACTGTGGAAGTTCTAAATAAAGTTAATTTATGCTCCATTAAACCATGTAAACCAGACATGTCGAACACAAGGCCCAGGGGCCGGATGCGGCCCGCGAAAGGGTTTCATGTGGCCACGAAACCATCCTGGAAACAGTGAGGGAACAGTCCCCACTGCCTTGGCCCTGGCAAGGTCGGCCGGGAGCCAATGTACAATTTTGTGGTGGCCATCTATGCATTCAGTCTTAGCTCCACAAGGCCATCTGGAAACAGCGAGGAAACAGCCCCTGCCGTGTCGCCCCCGCCCCCTGGGTACATGCTGGGGAGGTGTCACTCTTTGTGAGGAATGAAGAAATGCACCATCGCCTGGAAGTGGCCAGTAAATGGCCCCCACCTACTTCACATATCCGGCTTAATGGGCTCCGGGCGGAGAAGTTTCAGCAGGCAGTGAGACTCCTCCAGTGGACCATGCCTTGGCACTTGCCCTGGTCCCACCCCGTTCTGCCAGAGACCCTCAGATCTGCCCCACTCCTGCCCAGGCCCCCGCAGGCACCCTTGAATCGAACAATGTAGAGCTGGCCATGCCCACCCAATAGGCCACACCCACTCCAAACCCACCCAGTAGGTCACACCCACCCTGGCCACACCCACCTGCCCCCCCAGGGCAACCACAATGCTGATACGGCCCTCAATGAAATTGAGTTTGACACCCCTGGTGTAATCAATGTTAGCTCAGGAAACTAAGGTTGTTAACATGAACTAGTAAGTTGTGTGAACTCTCCAGAGCAAAAGTGTTCACCATAAGAGATGGTGGAATTCTAGTCACAGTGCAAGCCCTGCACTTTTTATACAAGTGTGTATGTGATATCAATGCATATACAAAAAAGAGTGAGCGTTGTATACCTATGTTGCTTCCACCTTCTTACCTTTTGAATCTCCCTCCTAGCAGATTATCTTTGATTCTTACTACTTGACTGTTTCATCCTTTTGATCAAGCCCCCATCATTTGGACCCCATTAAATTCTATTTTTATTTTTGTTTTAGGTGGTCTTGGACAAACATATTTGAGTATACACAAATCTGAAACTTAGTTGGTCTTGCTTTAAGGAAACTAAATAATCTCTTGGGCAAACACCTGTAAAGGAAGAGCCCTTCCCTTCCCATTTGTAAACATAACGTTTGTTATAAGGATAAGGGGTTGGATTACAAATGGAGGAAATCAAGTTCCAGTTCTCCCTCACTGGTCTAGTCATTCTCTTTTAGCACAATCTATGTACTGGACTGTTGTGGGGAGAAAGTAATGAAAGAACTATGCATATATCATTGAACTACTAAATAAAAGCAAGATATAAATATAATAAAATAATCCTTTGTTAAAATATTCTGGTTCTGGTATTCTGGAACATGTTTCCATCAATATGCTGTAATCTTAACAGTTTTGAGTTTTCAAATAGCATTTAGTCTGTCTGCCTAGTCCAGGGGTAGACAACTTTGGCTCTTTTATGACTCGTGGACTTCAACTCCCAGAATTCCTGAGTCAGCATGGCTCAGCTTGGAAACTCTCCCTTTCCCCTCAGCGTTGCTGGCTCAGGAATTCTGGGAGTTGAAGTCCATGAGTCATAAAAAGCCAAGGTTGCCTACCCCTGGCCTTGTCAAAACCAAATCAATTCTTCTGAGATCTGGTCCTTTCAGATGTGTTGGGACTACAATACCCCACATTCCCAAATTGGGAAACACTTCAATTAATCTGTGGATAATTAACAAAATAAAAAAAAGCTAGGTTATCTCCCTTGCAAATTCACCTTTGGAGCATGAATAGAACTGAAACTGCGGCAGGCGTCTAAGGAGGAAGGAAGGAGTTAATAAGGCACTGGAAAGAAAAGGGAAAGTGTTCATATGGAACCAATTACAGTGGTATTATAAAGGATGTTCCCTCCAGAGGAAGAAAGCTAGCTAATAGAAGAGTTATCATTCTGGAAATTCAACAGCACACATCTTGAACAACTGGCAATGAACTGAAATATTTTTAAACCCTTTTGTTAGAGATTAAAGGGAAAGACTGACCAATAAGATGGAGTTAGTAAATTCTTCTGGAAAAATAGTTCTGGATGCAGCCCATTTTCTACTAGTTTCCAGATTTTGAATTGATTGGGAGGAAAGGAAAGATTACATAGGCATTTGTATTAGAACCAACTAATCAATTAAAGACAATTTTAACTATATTTAAACCTTGTCAACCCACTTCAATAGAAGGTTTTTCCTAGACTGTTATGTCTCAATATTTATTGAAAGAAATAAGGGAAAAACCATAGAAATCTCAACAATAGGACTGCTTTCAAGTGACAGTGTGCTTTAATTTATACGTTGCAACATTGGAGACTTTTTCAGTCTTTTATTCACTGACTCTATGCAAACTGGTGAAGAAGCTTGCAACATCGGAGACTTTTTCAGTCTTTTATTCACTGACTCTATGCAAACTGGTGAAGAAGCTATTATCTTACGGCACAAGTGATTTAAAACAAAGGGAAACCCCAAGTTTTCTGAATTCAAGAAGATCAGAAAACCCAATCCCTACCTTTATATCTTACATGGTCTTGCCTACTTTGCTGTGTCCCCAGTGTGGTCTTCAGTATCCCCCAGTATTGTAACTTAACCAAAAATTTAATCCTGATCTAGAACCCTCAAGTTTTTAATTAATCCTGATCTAGAACCCTCAAGTTTTTTATCCCCACAGGAACAAGTGGCAGGACTTGGATAGCATCTAAAAAATTTGGACATGTATTGGTGTTGGATTCAACTTCATAAATTACTAACATGCAAAATTAACCATACTTTATGGACTCCATTATTTACAGATTCTTATATTGAACAGATACGACTAGGGAATCTTTGATTTCCTATTGAATATGAAAGGCTGCAGTTCTAAATACTTTTAGAATCCTAAATACCAATTCCTAGATAATAATAGGAGATTAGATGCATTTGGTTAGTCAGCATAGACTGCAGGATTAAATGGGGCTTTAGATTGATTCAACCAGGCTTTTCTTATGTCCTTTTCCTGAAATTTTCTTCTCAGAAATACAGTACATAGTACTCACTTTAATGGGGTAATTCCTATGATATAAGTGTCAATCTTATTAGGAAGTCAAAAGACTTGACTTTGAATATAATGGGATTTACTTCCACATGGATCCGAATAGAATAGCATCATAAATGGTTAATAAATTTCATGAATGTTAATATAACATTACTCTGTTGAAATTCACTAGTCATTTATGTAGCAATGAATATTTACTCAGTTTCTCTATTTGTAGTAAAGGATGCTTCTAGATATTAGTACATGACACCTCGGTCTTGGGCTAAACTCCTATCCGTTGACATACTGAAATATATAGGATCCCATTCTTAATGTGTTAAGATAGCAAATTTTCCATGTTTTTATTATTATTATTAGTAGTAGTAGTAGTAGAGGGTAGGCTCCCAGTCACAGATGGTAATAAAAGTTGAAGCTTGAAATCCTAGCATATTCACTACTTTCTTTTGAACTACAAACTGTCCATTTCACCAAGGTTCCATTATGTCTGTTTTAGCTATATTTCATCATTTCTTCATAACATTTCCCAACATTAATGCCAACATATACCATAACCATTGATTTCTGCCTTGTCCATTTTGCAGCCAAGTTAGATGAAGTGACATCTGCTAGCTTTATAAAAGACGCACAAATCACTATGAAGTCTAGACTCCAATTACAAATCCATCTCTCAGATGATCCTACATCCACAATCACAAATCTGTAAGCAAATAAATCCTCAATGGCATTTCCTGTTGCAGGGTATGCTATATAAAGGTTAGGTGGTGATTGGTAATATTTTACTTTTTCAATGCTGCATTTAGATTTCCATTTTTCTGTTCCATGAACAATGCAAGTTTGCTGCCTTTACAAAATCTTTGTGATAATTAGTAAGAAGTGGAATATGCAGATCTAGTTAGGACATAAGTCACTCACAATTAGGTTTGCCCTTTGAAAAGAACCATTAAATAAGGAACTCAGGATACCAGGCCAGGTTCAACTGGTCTTTTAACATTCTGTAACAGAATATTAATTTTGATGAAAAAGATATCTCAAGCCTGCTCTTTAATTTGAAAGTTATAACATACCTTGAAAATCATTAAATTGAATAGTAAAGAACCAAAGCAATTAAAACTGCAGCACTGTCTGATTACTATTCCATAGGCCGCATATGAACCTCCCCAGCAATCTCAGTCATGCTCTCAAAGTTCAGTGGCAAGATTATTCATTTCTGCTGGTAGAAATTGGATACACCACACTCAAAGCTAAGGATGTTGACAGTAGCATCACTTGGCCTCCCAGTATTTCTCTAGCCCCTTCATTTCCCAACATTCCGTTTGCTACCGCCAATAATTTTGGGGTTTTCCTTTTCTCCTCCTGAAGCATTTTTAGCCAGATATAGACCACCTGGAACTAGCTATCTGCACACAGAATAATATGCATAGAACAGTGAACCTTTTAGAGACCGAGTGCCCAAAAACTGCCCCATCCCTGCTCCGCCCCTGCCCCTGCCTCACCCGCAGGGCCACCCATCGCCTCCGTGGCCCACCACAGCAGATCGCCCAGGCGATCGCCCAGAAGGTTGCATAGCCCTATATTTTTGTAATTTGACAGCTGATGTATTGGAGGTTGGATATGGGTTGGCAGCAATTCCATGTTCTGCTCCATTAAGTGCATTTTTTTCTTATTAGTCCCATATTAGATTGGGAATTCTACAAGTAATTGGAAGAAGAAGACAAGGGCAAAACCTTTTCATACTGATTTCTAGAAAACTTCATAGATATGCCCATGATGTCTAAAAGAGGCAAGTTTGAAGATTGTTTTTTTAAAAAAAACCCAAATAATTAAGATACAGCTCTTTATTATGACATTTGATTCCTCCTGACAAATTTGCTTCCAACTAATTTATGCCATTT